TAGTGTAATCACCGATTTTAACTAACTGCGTGCGATTAGATAGATAAGATCGAAATATATCTAAAGCAATTCCTCGTACGCCGATCAGTTCCATCTTATGCAGAAGTAGGGGAATAGAGACAGTGTCGAACGCCTTTGACAAATCAAGAAAAACACCTATAAATTTCAACTTATTATCAAGATGTTTTGCGATTGTCTCAGTTAGAATTAAAGTTGCATCTTCAGTAGACTTACCTTTCGCAAAGCCAAATTGATTATCTGAAATTATATTGTTGTACTATATAATTTTCGACAGTGTCTCTGTCACCACTCTTATATATAGGGTGAACTAGAGCCCTCTTTAAAATATCTGGAAAAACACTAGTTTTTAAACAAAGGTTACACAAATATGTTATGGGGGGGGAATCAGACTGTTTTTGGCACGTTTTATGACTAGGGTAGGTATGCTATCGATTCCCGTGGCTGAATCATTTTTTAAGTTTGTGATAATAGCTTCTATCTCGTAATAGTCTGTGTCAAGCAATACCATAGATTTATGCAAGCGGTTAGATTCATCACTATCTTTAACAATTTTTGGGTGGTCAATGTATTGCTGAGTTTTTAATATTGAGTTAGCATAAGATGGGCCAATTTCTGCAAAGTAATTATTAACAATATTGACAGATTTATGAGGATCATCAGTTAGATTTAGTAATTCACATGGAGGGAGTGAATATTGTTTGAGGTTAGTGATCTTATTTATAGTATTCCAGGTACCCTTTGGATTGCATTTATTTTTACAGAACTCGGCTTTCTCATATGCGGTTTTAATTTTTTTCAACAAGTTGTTGCAAAAATTGCGATATCTCGTGTAAGTAATATGTAATATTGCATTGTTTTTATCGTGTTTTGCTTTCTTGTGCAATTTGTCCCTGTGTCTTATACAGCGTACCAATCCTGGAGTTAGCCATGGCTTGATACATCGTTTACGGTGAGGAATTTTTATTTTATTGGAATGAGCAGTTATGGCATCAGTAATAGTTTTAGTTAAAGCGGTAGCTGCTTCATTGGCATCTTTGATATTGTATATAAAGCTAAAATCTGCATCAGATAATTGTTTTAATAGTGATGGATAATCAATTTTGAAAGTTGTGCTTTTGGATGGATACCTTATAATTTTGCAATCTAAGTGAAACACTATCGGAGCATGATCAGTAATAAACGAATCCAGTATACAATGTGTCCGGTTTCCGATGTCCGATACTTTAAGGGGTTAAAATAAAATTAATTTTATCGACAAATCAGGGATCAATGATTTTTTTTCGCCATCAATAAAAAAATGGCAGCACTTTAAAAAAATTGTTGGCGAAGCATAGATGCTTGTATTAATTTAAATATCTACCCAAGTAGAAGACTTTCAAAAACAAAATTGGTCTCAAATGTTAGTTAATAGTGTAGACAATAAATCTAGATTCAAAATATTATTTTTTAATTTTTCAGTATTAGTAAAAAACATTTTTGAAAAAATAAATTAGACAACAAATTGATGTTGTTTTTCAGATTCTTAGCTTAAAAAAACCATCGTGTTAACCAATTTTTTTTACTTGTTTTTATTATAATACAGGATATTTGCTATAAATGCACATTTAAATCTTAACTCTGAGTTAGATAGTTTAGGAGCTATGACAGTGTAAACATACTTACTTGAAAAGCGCGGATACACTAGCAAATGAAATAAAACAAAATAATTTATATCAATTGCATTTAATTTGGCAAAATAATTACAAAAACTGCTCAAAGTGACCTCCTTGTCTCTGCAGACATGCTGTTGCTCTTAGTGCAACGTATTGCGTAGAGCGCTGGATCATTGCCTTGCCTTCTCGCAATTCGTTTGCTGCTTGAATTATTTTTTCTGCTAACTCCTCTCGTGTATTTGGCACATTTACATACACTCTTCGTTTGAGTGTGCCCCACAAAAAAAAATCGAGAGGTGTTAAATCCGGCGACCGCGGTGGCCAAACAATTGTTCCTCCGCGTCCGATCCACGACGAATAGTGTGCATTTAAATGATTCCGCACAAGAAGCGCGAAGTGTGCCGGAGCACCATCCAATTGCAGAACCATTCTGGCCCTGTAGGCCAATGGTAACTCCAATAAAGCATCGAAAAAATTCGTTTCCAGGAAATTTAGGAATCTTGGGCTATTCATTGTCTCCGGTAAAATGATTGGTCCAATTAGAATGTCGTCAATCATTCCGGCCCAAACGTTGATAGAAAATTTATGTTGAAAAGAACTTGGGCGGATCGCATGTGGATTTTCTTGAAGCCACATGTGTTCGTTACGGTAGTTCGTATACCCTGATCGCGTGAAAGTAGCTTCGTCTGTCCACATAATTCTTTTTAAAAAGTTTGGATCATATCGCGTTTCTCTCAATATCCACGAACAAAATATTGCTCTTCTTACATAATCCGGTTCCAGTATTTCTTGCACCCTTCGAAAATGGTAAGGATGTAATCCTTCTCTTTTTAAAATTTTCCACGCCGACCATTTTGATAGACTGAGACGATTAGCTATGCGTCTAATGCTCAGGCTAGGGTCTTGAGTAATCATTTGCAATATTTGATGTTCATCTTGGAGCGACAAAACACGAGTACGTTCGTTACCGAGCCTTCTTATTCCATTTTCCGCAAGTCTCAAATGAATTCTCACGAAAGTGCGAGCATTCGGCGTACGTCTGTTAGGAAATCTGCGTGCATACTCTACAACAGCTCTATTTGCACTCCCGTTACACAATCCATACACGAAATGGATGTCAGCGATATGCTGGCTTGAGTACTCGTTCATTGTAATAAACAAAAAGTAACAGTTCAACAACAAAACAAAAACGTAACAAAGTCTAAAAACAAACAATAATTATGTACAGTAAGTAGATTTACTTAAAACCAGGAATGTTATCACAACGCAGAGCGAGGGACGACTGCTCGACGACACAAGCGCACACTGCACCCTTTTTACCTGGTGATAGCCGTTATTCTGCCTCGCTCGCACTGTAGTGCCCAGCGTTTTCTACCTGCTCACACAAAGGATGCTATTGTGCTTGCTTACGATTCCTTGAATTATTGAAGAATTTTATCTTACTCACTGGAATGGGTGTTTAGTTATCTAATATCGGGGTAGAGGCACTTTGAACAGTTACATTCAAATTATCATAGCTCCTAAACTATCTAACTCAGAGTTAAGATTTAAATGTGCATTTAAAACAAATATATAAAACAAGTAAAAAAAAATTGGTTAACACGATGGTTTTTTTTAAAGCTAAGAATCTGAAAAACAACATTAATTTGTTGTCTAATTTATTTTTTTCAAAAATGTTTTTTACTAATACTGAAAAGTTAAAAAATAATATTTTGAATCTAGATTTATTGTCTACACTATTAACTAACATTTGTGATCAATTTTGTTTTTGAAAGTCTTCTACTTGGGTAGATATTGTTAAATTAATACAAGCATCTATGCTTCGCCAACAATTTTTTTAAAGTGCTGCCATTTTTTTATTGATGGCCAAAAAAAATCATTGATCCCTGATTTGTCGATAAAATTAATTGTATATTAACCCCTTAAAGTATCGGACATCGGAAACCGGACACCCTGTATATGTTGCGGAATATCTATCTGATCTCAACATTACATGGTCAATACCACTTTCATTACGAGTGAGGATTAAATGAGCTGCTAAATATCGGTGGAGTGCCATTAAATCCAAATATTTACTGCTATTAAGGTCATTGTTATTAGGAGAGATATTTATATTGATATTTCCAATCAAGATAACTGATCTTACCGAAGCTAAAGATGCAGGACAGAGATCAAGGCTATCACAAAATTTATTGATATTTTTTTGTGAAGGTGATCGATATATGGCCAAAATGGCATATTTATTTTCATAATTTACGATAAGACCATTCGCATCAGAAATTAAAGGTTTATGTATACTATGCTTTATTTCAGATTTTATATATATCAGAACACCGTCGTTTTGGTTATTATACTCAGTAGAATAAGACGTATACCCAGCAATTACAGGTATAACTGATAATTTGCTTAGCCAGCATTCCGTCAGTACAAGGATGTCGCATTGAATACAAATTCTTTCCATTGGTATGGCTAGTATATCAAAATTACAAGTTACACTGCGTATGTTAGTGTGAAACACTATCAAAGAATTTCTAGTCTGATTAATTTGATTAACTAGGTTTTCTGGAGTGCATATCATGGAATTGGAAACAAAAACTGAATCATTGTCATTAGAGATATTATCAAGTATAACTATTAATAAGAGAATATTTAAAGGCGCATATCTTTGTTACATTCAATAGATTATTTATTATAATCTTGTATTTTGAAGTCTGTTGAATTACAGTATTAGTGATATAGAGATTTAATGAATTAGGATGTAGGTTAGGTAGTGTAAGTGTGTGAGAGTAGTATATATTATTAAAAATTATACAATTAGGAAAAGCAATGATAAATGTTTGTGGTAATATGTAGTAAGTTTTTAAATCAACGTAAAGAAAAGGATACAAATAACTTAAACATTTAGAGAGTAATAAAATTATGTTAAAAATAATATATAAAAATCGAAGTAAATTGCTTAGTCACGAAGAAGATTGCGACTGGAATTGGTTTAGTTCATTTTGCCGAATCAATCCGATGTGATGGAGCACCTTCTTTTTTACGGATGAAAACTTTCCCGTGAGCAGTCCAGCAGTAGGCATAGGAGTTCCTTTTACTAAACTCACGAGCGAGGTAGTATAGTTTTTTTGCTTTTTGAGTCAGACATTCAGTTACGAAAATTGGCTTTGCGAGTCCTTCGAATTGTATATCTCCTGTGTTTAGTTTTTTAGTATTATTAATCCGGTTATAATTTTTGACTGATGTTAAAATCTTTTCTTTTAAAATAGCAGTTGTAAAGTCTACTATTATCGGCCTATTCCCCCTTTTATCTTCAATCAAGCGAAATACATCGCGAATGAGAGAGTCCTCAATATGGGTGTTAGTAACTAGACCAACTTTATTTACTATCTGTAACAAGTCATCTTTAGTCTCATTATGTTTGACAGGGATATTCTTTATCTCAATACTTGCCTGTTTTTGAAATCTCTCGAGATTCTCCACTTTTAATTCAAGGGTCTGAATATAGGCTAAATGCGTTTTTCTTTCGGTTTCCATTTTACACAATCGATCTTTGATTTCATCATACTGTTTTGAGATAAAGTCCATGGATTTAATAATATCCCCATTTTGTTTCTGGATGTCACTAATACTACTTAGAATTTTAACTTGTTGATTTTTGAGGGTATCAAAAGATTGTTTCATATCCGACATAAAAGCATATACCTCGTCATCATGTTGGCGCTTTCGGCCACGAGGTCGGCTAGCAACATTACTAGAGCTATCATTATCGGTATCTGTGGCCGTAGCAGCAGCTGAACTCTGATTCGTATCCGACTTCGGCTGTTGCGATGGAGGGGTCCTTTTAAGTGGCATTTTTTAAATAATAATAAAAGTAAGTAAGCGCAAGACCTTTTAAGATTGACTGCTCAATTTGCGACTTACTAGGAGCACAGATTTAACTAAGCGAACGTTTTAAGATACGTAGCAGATTACTAATTTACGAATCACGTAGCGCGTAGCGATAGTAGGTGCTGTAGCATCTGTGGGGCGTGGCTTGTCGTAGAGGTCGTAGCAGATACATCCAGTTGCAAATTACTCTTTATAAATTTATGTTTTCCTGGTACTATGGCACTTATTTAAAATTTTAACTTATTTCAATCGCTTAAATTAAATGACTATTTAAATAACCAAAATACACCTCAATCACACCCAGGGGGAAGAGGTGTAATATAGTATATATAATAAAAATGTCTCTCTTCTATTTTATTCTAAAATCCGGTCCTTTCTTTATAATCCTATGAAGTTTACCTATACATTGGTGTATGTTTTTTTTTTTAATAGAAACTGGAGTAAAAGAATATCCTTAGTGACGAGAAATCTATAAGATATCTCTATATCGGCAGCTCTCAGATAGTAACATGATATACTGAGCCTATATGATGTGCTCTTCTCGGATTTTGTTTGGAAAATGAAATATTTGACTTGTGTTTATTAATTCTACAAGCTAACATATGAATTTGTGTAGCATATGACTCGCTTTCAGACAAACATGTTAGTTGTAAAATTCCGTTCTTGCATGTTCTTTCTCATAATAGCCTCTGTCGTAGCCTACTGGCATGCGCCTGATGAACATCCATAGACGCCTCACTGAGGTAAGTGGACTGGCGATAGCAGTACTAGTTATGTCTACTAGTAGGGCTAAATGTTATCATTTTATATTTATCCCTTCAGTTAGGAATAAATATAAAAATAAAATAAAATTAGTCCTTTCATATTTAAAAATCATTTAGGTCTATCATTTTCCGAACAAGTAGTTTAAAGTGTATTCTTTTGTTTATATCCCCAGCACTAGGGATGAATTACCCGTGTTATTTTAGTAAAGATAGGTTTATAAAAATCCTTTTATAAGTAATATATAAACATGATTGACACATTGTTAAAAAATATAATTCTCGCCACGTTCAAAAAAATCTCATTGCTTCAGAGAGATGGCGACATATTTTGTTTACGCCAGACGTAAATTTACAAGTCTGGCGACAGAGAACAGGGTCAACAGTATAAAAAGTCACATACGGACTTTTCACAGTCACATGCGAGCTTCATTCTAAGAAAAATTGTCTAGAATAGGAGAGACTTACTTCTAGCGGCCGACCTTTAGAGGTCAATAAAAAAGAAGAAAAGTAAAAAATGTAGAGAACATCACCATTCTGCGATCAGCATCAGTATTTTTGGATGCATATTCTGCCATCAGATGGTTGCCAAAGCCTGGTCTATCAACCACCAGAGTAGACCGTAGACAGTGTATCGGTGTGGCTGATGTTCTGATAAAATATTGGCATATTCCCCTTGCGCATACCACACTATATATTACTCATATGCAGCATAAATACCAAATGAAATAAAATTATTATTATTATTACTACAATAAAATATTGTAAGCATTTTGAAATTTCTACGGGTATTCAGCTGTGAATGATAATGTGATCGTGAAGCTCAATGTTTGAAAATAAAATATATTTCAAAGATTTAATATTTCCTAACACACACAGACGGTAGCGAGCGGCCCGTCGCTTACGCTTTTCGGATTCTCAACCAGGCCGAGACACAATATTCACAAATAGAAAAAGAAGCACTTTCTATAATTTATGGTATTAAAAAATTTCATCAGTATTTGTATGGTCGATAATTTACACTACGAACGGATCATAAGCCACTTGTGGCAATTTTTGGAACCAAAATGTGTATACAAGGTTACAAAGGTGGTCTATTATTTTGGCAGCTTATACGTACGATATAGAGTATGTGGCAAGTGCCGATAATACGGCGGACGTTTTATCCCGTTTACCTACCGGACCGCAGAAATCAGTTAGGTCTGAGACGACCTATCTGAATTTTATACAGGATTTCTTGCTTATTACAAGTGAGGCAATTAAAATTAAAACGTCAAATGATGTATTATTATAGCGTGTCATTAAGTACATTATTTTCGGATGGACAGATAAGTGTCCCGATGGACTACAGAATAGTTGTACCGGATACAATAAATACCGGTAATTATTTTATATAAGAAACACTACAGCCAACTTCAATTAAGACGATTAAAGACTGACTAGGGTAAAACGCCTTACTGCCTGTTTACTTGCTAAAATAGTACATAATTTTAACTTTTAACTCATTTTGCGTGAGCGTGTTATTCCCAAAATGGGCCGATCCATTTGTGCTAGAGCCAAAGTACGTTTTAAATGAAATAAACTAAACAATATAACTGGCCGATAATTTAGCGCTAAAAATGTTGTTAATTTTTTTAAATAGAAATCAAATAATTCCTTCATTGAAACTATATTTCTTTTAAGTGAAAAATCTGTCATTAAAACTGTTTTTTTCTTCTTTAACATAGACAACCAACAAACATATAATTAAGTATAAAATATGAATTCGATGTGCAAACTCGCGCCCATTTATTGCCATTATTCAAATTTATTCAATTCGCAACAGTAATCATGTACAATGCGCATAGTCCGGTCAATTTAGACAGTCGGTGATACATAAAGTTACAAGCTGATTATCGGTAAAATTGTCCAAAATTTATAAGAATTTTGAAGTTCCCCACCATTACTTTCTATGGAAAAAAAATTACTCAAGCTCAAGAGTAAAAATATGAGTAGTTACGATTTTCAGCAAAACTGTAATCTTATCATAAAAAAAACCCGAACAAAAGTTGTAGCTCATAAAATTATCTACAAAAAATGTACCAGTACTTTTTTCCACGAGCCACCGTTTCTGAGATAGTACGATTCAAAAGTTGTAAAAGTTGTAAACGTCATAATATGCACACGTTTCCACGCCACCTATGAGTTAGTGTACTTAGCGCGTTGTTTTAACGGGATTCCCCATTGGGCCCATATTACGAGTCTATTATGATCCTGTTTAATTTGTAATTATTGCAAAATATGGAAATTAACAGAGATTGGAAAAAATTAAAGCAACATAGCCACGCACACAATGGAACAGGGGACAGAGATGTTGTCTCGACACTGGTGTAGAAATGAAGGAACTGGGTTTCATTTTACCTGATATTCTTATAGTTATAACTTATTTATATTTTATATTTTAAGTGTTAATTACAACGGCCGATAGAAAAATATTTGAACATATATTAAAACTCTAAAGGTGTATGTATATACGTGGCGTACTCATGCATATTATGATGTTTACAACTTTTACAACTTTTTGAATCGTAGTATCTCAGAAATGGTGGCTCGAAGCAAAAAAGTATTGACACATTTTTTGTAGATAATTTTATGAGCTACATTTTTTCATTGGGATAATTTTATGATAAAACTTACCGTTTTGTAATAAAAAAAATTCCATACACGGGAATGGCGGGAATTATTTTGAACAATTTCACTGATTACCTGCTTGTTGTAACTTTATATATCTTCACTCTTATTTTCTGGTCTAATTTGACCGGATTAGTAGATCTTTATTTATTATAAGAACAGCTGAGATAAGTTAGACGGCTCAATGTTGAAGTAGCTTTGTTGTTACGGTAAATGATTTTGGCGCTGAGGCCCGCGATTCGAATCCCGCACCGAGCAAGTACTTGAATCACCTACAAATAATTATTTAGGATGTTAGTCTTTGTGAAGTTTATGTACGTAAACATCTTCCACAATACATAAGAAAAGGGGGTAGTGTTTTTATATAAATATATGAATGACACAACATATTTTTAAGGCATAAAATTTCTCAACATAAATTATAGTACATTATATGTAAACATGCCTCCTATCTTTCGATAAAGCTGCACCGTTTGTTTGAAAATTATGAAATTTTAGTTTTGGCAGACTATTAGAACCAATCCTTTGAAAATAGAGCACTAAATAATTTTGTTAAAAGTAGGAAAAACGATTAAAACTTATTAACTGTAGTCCAAGGGCTTGCTTTAAGTTTTATTTATTGATAACCTATGTACGTTCTTTATTAACTGAGTGATACAAGACATTTTAAAAGTAAAATTAAGGCCCATAATTTACTTGGCTCAGGCAATTTAAAATTAGGGATTATTCCTTTTTAGTAAAGTAAAGTAAACACCACCATCTCACGGATGGGCACAGGCTGCCTCTCCTTTTTGAGAGGATTTTTTGTCCAAATAAACGTGACAACTATTAAAATATGCCTTTTATGAGGTGATCTAAGAAGTGGCATTTGTGAAGCAGTTGACTTTGATAGGTTGTAATCAGTAAATATATTAATATATGAATGAATAAATACCTTTTAAGACGCATGAAAAATTATTGTTAATTTGTAAAAAAAAAGGGAAGAATATGTTGAAATAAATATTAGACTAAGGTATTGAACCTGGAATTTACGTCGTATAATTTATTTGGGTATCAAAAGGTCGCTAAGCTTGGATTAGATTTATTCTGATCCGCCGCAAAATCCCTAAATTGTATTAATACAGACTTCAGGAATCATTGCGATTGATGCCGAAATTGTTCTCTAATTTTTACATAAGAAAGAAGTAATTAAACCATCAAAAATATAAATCATTGTGCCGATTTAAATTAATGAATTGATTAGATAGTAAAAGAGAAAAATTCAATTTCAGATTTTTATTGTTTACAAACCTTGTCTGCGTTGAGTTACAAATATTGCCGAAAAAATTATGTAAATTGGCCTACGGATTACGGAGGAGATAGATTTCAAAGAATCGTTTTCTTGCGCCATGGAATCTCTACTCCAATAATCCCGTAAGTGTCATAGGTGACAGAGGGAAACTAAAACAGTTAGTAATCCGTTTGCCAAGCGTGACAAATATCCCCCTTTGAGGCAATAGAATAGGTCTTTACCAATGAAATTGCCGTTCTGTAGTACTGGAAATTTAAAATCAAAATAATTTTTGTTTTTCTAAGAATTCTTATTTCAAATTAATTTTATTTCAATAACATGGAGTTCTTTTTTAAAATTAGAAATTTGTTACCGTCTTCAAAAAGGAGGAGGTATTCAATTCGACTGTATGTTTTTATGTGTTTCTTATTTTGACTGATTTTTATTTGAAAAGTGGTGCTTATCATGTGTTTGAGTTATTCTTAAATAATGCGTATTTAATTGACTTAGAAACTTAGAATACATTTATTCGGTCTATTCGGGTATTGAACTCGATTGTACAAAATGTTTAATTTAAGAACGACTCCACATAAATTTAATAAGATATGTACATAATACACTACATAGTTAGCATATGTAAAATAATTGTTATAGCAGTTTCGAATCGACGTAGAAATAATAATAATAAAATTAAAATATTAAATCAGCAAACACTCGTTAATAAATTAATTTATTTACCTACTAATCAAAGTTGTTCTTACTCTAAGCAAAGTACCAATGTTATACGTAAACACATACAGATATTCGTTCATGCCAGTATAGGTATGACAATCGATCACATATTACATCTTATGGTAAGTGGATGCTGTGGCCCATAGAAATCTACATCTATCGTTGATTATTAGGGCGGTCGGCGCTGGTGGAGTCGCTGGTATATGCGAAAGCGTTCTCGTGGCCTTGCAAATATAGGGCGCGGGTCGACAGTTTTAGTCGGTGCGGTGATTTCTCCATGTACAAAATGGTGACTATGGATTCCAATACTCACTTACCAACAGGTGAACTGTAAGTAAGTTAGTCATTTCAATCTTAAAAATAAAACAATCATTGTGCTAAGTGTTTATACATTGAAAGGGGCTGATCTTTTAACAGTGAACTTTTTATAGGCTGGTTATTATTCCCTTTATTAGACACATTTCTAAATAAATTCTAAAGCTAAGGCCAACCTTTTTGCCTATAGGTATAACAATGCTACAGTTTAATCAATGAATTCGATATCTAATTACTTAAAACGACAAGGACTCGCTGCAAATGACTTTGATTGAGTGAGGTTTATTAAACTTCAATCCACATCCTTTGGTGATTATTTGCTTGGGATTTGTTCAAATACAGCATAGTTTAAACAAAAGTACGTAATTAAAACGTACCGGCAGTTTTAAAATTAACTGTGAATTTAATTATAATATCCAATTTACGATTGACCGACAAACAATGGAGAAGGTTCCCGGAGTCGATGGATGTAGGTGCCAAAGGTACGTGCTTTGTGGCATTCCTACGGGGAGGCCTATGTTCAGCAGTGGACATATTAAAGACTGTTATAACCATGATGATTCTATTCAGTTCATTTTCAAACTATAAAATATAAGTAGACGTCGGCACATTACAGCGTTTATGCGATAAAACGGGGAAAAATTCGAATCCAGTCCAAGGTGATGCTGTGGTAAATAGCCACATAAGCACATTGGCTCAAATTTTTTACCTAAACTGCCTGTCAGTAGAGGTTTCTAGTTTCAGTTAGAGACACACTGCTGTCAGTTTACACTGCCTCCGTTGGTAAAACCAGATGGCTCACTGGGGCATACAGCTAAGAAGAAAGTGCACTTATTTGCTTCCCTTTTTGCTTGCAAGACGCATCTAGACAGTTGCAACAGCGTACTACTTCAATTACTTCTTATATTTACGCGAACACTACACATTTAAATAATACTGGTTTTTACGGATTTTATCGCGTATATTTAACTATAAATACCCAATGTTTCGAGCGCTTTACAGCACCTACGGTCACAGGGGGTCTGAGATGGTCAACGCCCAGATGTCATAGTTAACAGCTGTTACCATAGATTAAAATTTATTATTTATAAATGTAGATCGGAACAAAAGTTAATCGCGCTATACATGAATTTATGCAATATCAGGGGACTTCACTCGAACCTTCGCCGTCCAATACCAGTTCCAAGACGGCGAAGCCGGCTCTGCGCTTTTTCTGACCGACACGCAGATGTCCTCTCCAGCTGATGCTTCTTATCTCCCCTACTCGGGGTACAAATTGGAATACTCCTTTGTGCCTCGGGTTTGCGTATACGTCAGAGAGGACATCTGTTCTCGATACCTCGGCAGCCTTGAAGTTTCGGACCTATCCATCTTTTGGCTACGTGTAGACAGCGACGACGGATGGTCGTCTATGGGTGCCTTTATAGGTCCCATAGCGATAATACCGAATCAGACCGACTCTTCGACCACCTCCAAATGGCTGTAGATTTGTTGCTACAGCAGATCCCCCCCGCAGAGATCGTGATCCTCGACGATTTTAACGCCCACCACGCCGAATGGCTTGGTTCACGTTCAACCGATTATGCGGGGAGATCTGTTCAAGATTTTGCCATGACATGGTCTGACATAACTGGTTACTTCGCCTGCACGGATTCCAGATGTATGGGATCATGCACCTTCCCTGTTGGACCTTCTGCTGACCTCTCATCCAAACGTAAGGTCTCCGTCGATGCTTCTCTTGACTCTTAATCAATTACAGTTGTCACCACGTCAGCAGCAGGCTAGAAACAAGTGTATGAAATTTGGAAAATAAAAGCTATGAAGGCCTTAAAAGTGATCGCCCTAAAAATTTTGTGGTTTTTTTATTCATTAAATGAACCTGCAACAGGTAATACGTTAAAGAAAATAATATGAAAGAACTTTTTTTCCTTGGACGTGAATCTTGTATGTGACATTATTTGAACAAGTTATGTTTTTTAAAACACATAAATTTAAATTGTTTTAAATTTTAACGTAAAAGTTGTATTACTGAACTTTTCAGCACTAACGGTTTGGTAATTCAAAATGAGTTTATAATTTATTCGGGAACAACTATGTATGTAATGGTAGTTTATTGCGAAAGTACGTGCCACTAATTACTGAAGATTAATTCAAATTTGATAACATTAAAATGGTCATTTATATGTACATTGCAGTCTTCCATTTTGAATTTTATAGCCTTTATCACAATTAAACCGTTAAGCGTATAAATAACCGTGCAAACAGTTTGTTTGGCAATTTATCTAATGAATCGCCGTAACTCGTAGTACTTTACTTCGCCTACGCGTACTATATGGTAGCGTAGTGGCTATAACTTGGATGCGATGCCGCAGGGCCACGGGCACGAATCCCGTTCGGAATAAATATTTGTCTAAAAATATTTGCGCTGGGCCTAGGTTTTTGTCCTTGAGCAATTATTATACGAGTATAGTAGAGGTTGAAATATATATTCTTGCCATATCGATGGAAGATCATTTATGTTTTTGACATAAAATGGATCCTCGTTCGGTATACGTTTTATCGGTTTTATTGGGTACTAGCTGTGTCCCGCGGTTTCACCCGCATCCCGCACATATCTCGTGTCTGGGCCGCGCGACATAACATGACACCTAGTTCAAGTCGTGCCTCTTATACAGGAAATATTCTACTAATTTAGTCATATATTCCTCATAAATCTAGCTATAATAAAAAAAATTTCAAATTGGTCTGGTAGTTCTAGAGTTTTGCGTGTTTAAACAAACAAAAAAGCAAAAAATAAACTCTTCATTGTATTAGTATAGATTGGACGGGTATCGGAATATTGATCATCATTTTGTACCTCTTCCTAGGAATAAAATTTATATCTTTCCAAAAAAAAAAATTACGGAGCCAAGGTTAGTATAAATTGATGCTCCATAAAATTGCCCGTATTTCCCATTGATTTTCATTTGCGATATTGTAGGGAATCCATTCTCATCACATGCACAATTCTGTCCAAAATTCATTCCCTCATCATCTTCATCATCTTAAAAGCAAGGCAAGCTTTCAATGTGTGTTCCCGTATCTACCTCAGTTAATTGTATTCTTCCTGTATCTATTTACTATAATATTTCCTATATATACTTACTATAAGGAACGGCTTCGGCCCTTATTTTTAATACATTGATATTTACCTTTGTGTCTGGCGTTCCTGGTGGTTTATTTTTCAAGTAAGCACCAATATAGCGATTATGTCAAAAATACACAGTGCGTTCGTTTGTCGTTCCCTCTAAAAGAGGAACTGATATTGTGAGTTTGTCTCTGTTGCATTAGAGCGTCTGATGTTCGATTAAATTATGAAGGTGATTCTCGTTGCTTGCTATTTTGTTAATGTCATTTTCATACTGTTCCGTAAATTTTTCATCCAAAATCCCAAGTAACGTGTTCATTGCATAACCAATTCCATTTACTAATCCTCTGTTTTTCGCCTGTTCTGGTTGTTAAGCAGTCTGTTATAATATTCAATTTCGTTCTCGTAACTCTTGTTCCAATTGCAACGTGATACTTTTATATTGTATGTCCAACTTACTACTGACTTCTTTTAAGTGTGTTACGTAATGATTGATGTTTGATA